CTCTGCCACCGGTCACCCCCCCCTCCCCCTGCCACTTGCAGCATCCATCTTCTACTTGATCACTTGAGAGAAGCTGCCACCCCAAACCTAAGCTGCCCAAGTGATCTGCTTAACCTGTGAACAGCCCCTCGGGGCGGCATGCCCCTTCCCATTTCGCTTTCAGATGCGGGGACCGAGAACTGCAAGTGCTCTTGCGCTCCGCCTCCATCAGCCACATCTCTTCCTTGTCTTCTCTAGGGGGATCCCTTGGAGCTGATTTCCACAGCCCGGCAGTTCCTGCTCGGTGCAATCCCACGATGCCCTGCCCAAAGCTTTGGAAACATACGACCAGTGGGTTGAGATTTATTTTTTATTTTCCCCCTTTTCTCCCAGTAGGTGAGAGCTGGGAGCGCTGCTGCTGCCTGTGCAGCCTGGCCCAGGCACCGATCCTGGGCTGGTGCTCAGCCCCTGACGCTGCTCAGTCAGCGCTGCCTCCTCCTCCCTCTCCCAGGCTCCATCTTTCTCTGCAATGTTCACCCTTGCTCACCTGCATCCCTACTCTTTTAACACTGGGGCTGGGGGAAAATCCCAAGCACAACGACATAGCAGGGGGTGACAGAATCACAGAATTGCCCAGACTGGAAAAGACCTTTAAAATCGAGTCCAATCATGAACATAAACCTGACAAGTCCTCGACTAAACCACATCCCCGAGTGGTGTCTGCCTGACTCTTAAATCCCTCCAGGCATGGGGTCTGCACCACTGCCGTGGGCGACCCATTCCAACCCTTTCCATAAAGAAATGCTTCCTAATATCCAACCTAAACTTTCCCTGGTGCAACTTGAGGCCATTTCCTCTTGTCCTATTGCTTGTTCCTTGAATAGACACATCCTCACCTCACTACACCCTCCTTTCAGGGAGTTGTAGCGAGTGAGAAGGTCTCCCCTCAGCCTTGCTTCCTCCAGTTCCCTGTCTAGAGACATTTCCCACGAGCCAAGAGACACGTTTAGTTCTGTGCGAGTCGGCCACAGCCTCTCTCTAAAACGCTCTCGTGCCGCTGTAACTCGCTTCAGGGAAGCACGAGCGGGTCTAAAACTGGCTCCTTGCCCTCTCCCCCCACCAGCTCCTGGCTACCTGTGAAGAACTGGACCCAGAGCTGGGCGCCACCCTCCTGCGCTTCTCAAGCCCCGACATGGCCATGGAGCTGGATGAGGAGTTGGTCCTGTTCTGAGCGCCCAGAGGGACAGCAGAGGTCCTCCCTTTCACACCGGTGCCGTTTAGTTTCAAATTACTTTGTAAATAATTTATTACAAGCATAACCATGAAGCTCTTGTTACAATAAAAAGTAAGGTTACAAATTTCAGTTTAGGCTTGCTTTGGGAATCGTAAAATTTTTACGTTTTTTTTGTTTTTTTTTAAATTTAAAACACAAAGTCTGCTTAAAGTCACTTGGCTGTCCTGTGTACCCTTAAAGCCCCCCCTGAGGGCATTTCTGTGCAGGCAGGGAACAGTTGTGGCCAGCTCTGTGCCTACAACTGCGTGAG